TAGCACTGATCACTTTTAAGAATGCTGTTCCACTATTGTTGGCATCTTTAAGAATGCTTTTCCATTGTGTTGGTCCCTGGAAAATTGCTCATTTCTGAACAGTCTTTGCAGGTTTGTAGCAGCAGGTTTACACCTGTAGGTGGCTCACATGCCAAACAAAAAAGTGATACCGTTTTTAAAATCTTCTGCGTCAATTTGGAAAAGGAAAATGGTGGAACGGACGGATGTCCAGAGACAGTTAAATCTTCTTAATGTAGAAAAATGCTTGTTTGTCATTTATGCTGTAATTTCTTCTGGAAGCATTTTACAAGCTGTGCTTTCATTGCCTCTTTATTGCTGTTTGTTTTTACAATGGGTTAGTAGCCTTGTCCTCTTTATAAAGAGAAAGAAAGGTGGGAACTCGACGTGCTCCGTATGAATCTTTAAAATTAGTTTTGGTTGTATTGGTAACTTCAAAATTTTTATTTTATGTACGGCACCATTCAAAATATGTCTTGGATAAACTTATATTGCAATTGAAAGGATATTAGCTCTATCTTCTTGATCGTCAATGCCCAGTCTACATGTGGCTGCCTCTACTCAGAAACTGATCCTACCGAAAAGTAAGAAACAGCCTCTTCATCTGATCCAAAAGCTGTTGCTCGGTAGCTCTTCAGTTAGTTTTTCAATACCCGCCATCAAGGTTCTGTAGTTTTTTTTTCCTTATAGATGGCCACTACTGCTGATCAGGGTGTGAACGTGCCTCCAACAGGATATTTTACCCAATAAAACGATGTTAGTTATCCTCCATGACATCAGAAACTCTGATTGGATGGTGTGGTATTGAGAAGCCCAATACATAATTATTAAAAATAGCTAATGTACAAACATTTCATTCACACATTCATTCCATTGCATTTGGCAGTACTGTGATTGTTCTGTGTGGGGACTGTGTCCATAGAATATCGCTTTTGAGTAACTCCTACTGAGCTGTTATTGACTCTCCTTCAAGTAGATGTACCCGATCCCCTTTTGCCAGATCATATCTCAGCTTTGTAAAGCATGCCTTCCCTCAGTTTAGAACGTTAAACCCTTTTATGTTGTTGCCCCTTTCCATAATGAATCTAAATCAATAACTGCATTATGATCATTGGGTTCTGAAGAAGGGTCACTGGACCTGAAATGTTAACTCCTGCTTTCTCTCCACAGATGCTGCCAGACCTGCTGAGTTACTCCAGGTTTTATTATGATTGCTGTCTTCAAACGACCACCCACTGCTACTTGATTCACCCACCCAGTTTCATTTCCCAAGACTAAATCTAGAATTGCACCTAGAATTGCACCCTCTCCCTTTGAGCTCTGTTGGCTTAAAAAAAATTTTCTTTCACACAGTCCAACGGTTTTGCGTCATCTATGACTTTCACACTGTTTGTATCCCAGTTGATATTTGGCTAGTTGAAGCCCCTGACTATTATTGTCCTTTTAAAAAATTATTTTTGCACTCAAACTTGTCTAGATATTTGATACTCCTAACACTTTCCCACTATTTGGATGTCTATATCACACATCTAGTGATGTGGCAGCCCTTTTCTTGTTTCTAAGCTCAACCCATATTTGGCTACATTGTTCCTGTGACTGTATCTAGGATTTACAGATTTCTAATGGCGCAGTGGGAGGCCATTAGGCCCGTCGTGATCCAGTGGCTCCAAATAAGCATTATGACTTAGTGCCATTTTCCTACCTTTCTTCCATATCCTTGTGCATTTGTTTAGTTTCTAATGCTCTCTAGAATGCCTTAATTAAACCTGCCTCCACTACATTCCAGACCCTAACCACTTACTATGTGAAAAACATTTTCTCATATCACATCACGTTTATAAATCATTTTACCCCTGTGCCTTTCCGCTGTCAATTATTTAATGAGTAGGAACGGTTTCTCTATGTCCAGGCATCTCATGACTATGAAAACTCACATCAGATCTCCTCTTAGCCTGGGTTCAGGGATGACCTGACTCTGGGTGTGGGAAGGGGGTGGAGAAGGGGAGAGAGCTAAGTATGATGGCCTGACCCAGGGTTTTTAGGGAGGAGAGATGGTGATCTATCTGATC